AATATAGCTTGAATGCATATCTACACCTAAGCATACAGCAGTTTGTAGCCTAGAGATGTTTTGCAAACAATCATCATGAAACAGGATTAGCACCACCTGGTCTTGGCAACTGTAATTGATGGAAGGATAAAAGGTTCATATTAGAGCAATTCCAAGCATTTAGGTTATTAAGTGATGAGTATTGCTATAGCAAGTATTCTTTACCTTGTAATGATGTATGAGACTGCGCAAGCATAGACCTTTCTATCAAGACAGAAGTTTATTTAGAGTGAAACAGAGAAAACAAGTGTCTGTATATTTCTGCAACTATATTTCATATATCCATCCTGCAGAGATGACAGAAGCAAAAGCAGACTCGGCTATTCTATTTCTAACATATACTTTTAAAAGCACAGCACACTGACTAATGGGGATAATGTGAGAGAGGAGGATGTAAATTATAGTAGAACAAAACCCTTGTAAGAGGACATTGTAAGCTTAGAAAAAGGGAAAGTGAATGAACTCAGTGAAGGTTTTCAATTCTGAGGATGCTACATTAATAACAAATATAGGAGAGAGAAAAGAGAGGCTTACATTTGACTGTCTATTCTCCCTGTTCTTGCTCTACAGATATGCATGTCCACAAAATACAGATGAGCAAAAAAGGTAGCATTCTCTTGTTAGTGACCATTGCTTCTCAACAGGAAAGAAGGAACCAATGTGGTTTCCTTGGCCTTGTGCCTTGCCTCCAGAGAAAATTCTGGGTTTTCCCTTGAAAGCCCAATTCCTTTTACAGTCATCAAATGAATAATACTTACAGGAAGGCTTTTAAAAAGTGAAGAGAAACTCTTAAGTTCTTTGGTAGACACTACTGTCATAAGCATTTTACAATGAAACATAGTTTTTTCTTTCCCTCCTTTCTTTCTCTCATACACACATTCCTCCAAGTCTTCATTTTTAGATAATTTATCTCCAGGAACAAAAAAATTGAGGGAAATACAGGAGGTGCAAAGAATATTTTGATGAAACAGGAAACTTCAACAATGTAAATTATATTTGAAATAAGAAAGGAAATGGATCGCAAGCTGTCAACAAAGGTATGTTAATATAATTCATTCAAGACCTAATTCATTGTTCTCAAGTAAAATAGGTTGATACCTGGTCACTAGTTCATATATTATTCATTCATTTTTCTCAATATTTCCATTCTCTCTTTAGTATATGAATTGTTTATCAATAAATCCATGATTTTGGAGTCAAGTATCATACTGTACTTGTGTTCAGTGTCGTAGGGAATGATCAGTAGCTGCAAAAATGAGTACTGAGAAGTTGGTGCAACCCTTCAGATGAGTTCCTCTGCTCTAAATACTTGAGCGGTATCTTCACTGTTTTCAGACCTGAGATACTTTTAGCTTGAGCTATATTTGTGGGTGTGAGATCGGGGGGGGGGGAAGAAAAGAACCTCTCGCCAGAGTGCTGTCCCTTCCACAGACTATGGAAAGGGAGATTCAGACCTTGCCTACTCCAGCTCCCCGGAAAAGAGAACAACAGGGTAGTGACACCAGGGACTTGGAGAGATCGTTACATGGATTAATGGTAGCAGATCAAACTCCAGAGGAATTGGCGGAAATGGAGAGAAGAAAGAGAGTGGAGATAGAGGTGGGGACTGCAGAAATAAAAAAAGGAGAGACAGCCAGTTGCTGCCAGGCTGGGAGTGGGTCTGGTTGCAGGACCTGTGGACTGGAGTGTGGGAACGCTTGCGAGTACCGAAAGAGGAGGCAGACTATCACCGAAGGAGGGAGATTTCCCCCTAGACATTCCTATTAGGGTGAGGCTGAAGCGCGAGAGTGGCGGAGAAGATTGAGGGAGGAAAAGGAGAAGGTGGAAAGTGAAAGGAGGGAACGATTGGCATGGAGGGTAGACGAGATGAGGAAGAGAGATTATCAGGAGGACCCCCGCCGACCTTCTCCCCAACAAGAGATGCCAGGTGGACCGATCTTACAGAGGACGAGGCTGTTCCCTTATTGGGAAGAGAGACCAGAGAGGTTCTGAAGGACAAAACAACGGCAGACTGGCTGGGTCCATGGAACACCAGTGAAACCAACCCCTTCCTGAATGATGCTTGGGTACCCCTGTCAGGCCCATTGGTGAAAGGTGAGAAGTTATGGAATAATTTGTGGACACTAATTTCTTGTTAAATGCTCCAGTAAACCTTCCACGTTTCAAAGTTTTAAAAGTCTCCTGATTTTATTGAAGAAAAGAAAGACTTAAAAATCGAACTCTCACAGTGGGCTTGCAATATTTTGCCACCTCTTTTCATGGTGACAGTGTTATAGTCTTGTGATCCAACTTAGTTTAGGCACCGATCCTGTAGTAGCTACATGTGCACTAGTTTAAACCCTCCCCAAGGTGGTATCTTTCAGGTGTATTGGACTACTTTCCCCTTCAATTGAACATTCCTGGCATGTGTAGCCAAAATGGTCTCTGTCTCCTCTATGAGAGCTGTTTTGATCAATATGGACAACTTATATCCAGTCCCCTTTGGCAGACGTTGCTGCTATTAGCTGGCTCATTTGTTTAGTACCTCTGAAGAGTAAAAACATACATCTGAAAGTAATGTGGGCTGTAGTCACATCTAATTACTTTTAGGATCCAGCAGACAAATGTTGCCTACTGGCTACAGATAAATTTTGTGCAGGAGATTGGTGGTGATTTTTTTTTTAAAGACTGGAGCCTGTCTTGAATTTCAAAGGCCACTCTTCTTTGGGACATAAGGCATATACTTGCACAGCACTGCTCCTTTGTTTATTCAATTCCTGTTTTCTATTCATCATATTGGGAGTGCTGAGAAATTCTTCTGCAGACATGCCCCCCAACTTATTCTTCAGTACCTGTTGTTTAATCATTAACAAGACACTGTGGGAGCTTTAAAACCTTCTATCTAAAAATGGACCTCAGAGAATGCCTGTTTAATGAACATACAAGCTTCCTCCCTGCTTGCTTCACAACTGAAACAAGGATTGCCACAGCTTCATCATTTTCCCAAAGCATTGTTAAAAAAAATACTGATCACCTTTTGGCCAATTATATTAGAAAGAAAGGGGCAAGTGAAGCTCAGTGCCTCATTCTACTTAAACATAATAGTCGCTGATTTCCAGATCAGAAATATCTGCTTGCACATTTTATTCTTATTTAGCATTAGAGAACTAACAGAATCCAACGAAGCCAGGCCTAATGATGAGCAACATTCAGACTTCCACTGCTTAGAAAAAATAAACAGGATACAGTGGTGCTTCGAGTTTCGAACTTAAATGGTTCTGGAACTCCGGTCGTAACTCAAAAGTCGAAGCACCATTTCTCATAGGGATGCATTGAAGTGCAATTAATCTGATCTGGCTGAAGAAGAAAAAATCACACACACACTCCAAAGGGGGGGGGGAGAGAGAGAGACTGCAAGACCCATCGGAAACGTGATTAATCTGTTTCGGCCGAAGGAAAAAGAAAAAGAAAAGCAAACAAACCCTGCAAGATCCATCGGAAATGGGGGGGGAACCCAAAAAGCAAACAAACCTTGCAAGACCCATCAGAAACGTGAAAAAAAACCCAAAAACAAACAAAGAGTGCAAGACCCATCACAGCACAGAAACATAACCCCTCCAGCCCAAAACCACTCTGGCAAACCCACCCAGAACAGTTTTTAAAAAGCAGAAAGCAGCACCTTCCCTTCCCAGGTAGTCCAAAGCCTCCTCCAATCGCACACTCTCTAACCGCTGGGGTGAAAGAACTACAAAGAAGCAGCCTCTTCACCACCTACGGTTAGCAATTTTAATTCTCTTCCTTTTTTTCCCCTGCCTTTTTTAATCGTAACTTGAAGCTCCGGTTGCAAGTACTGTAGAAGCAAAATTTTGCGGCCGGATCTGGTTGTAACTCAAAATAGTCATATATCGGGATGTTCGTAAGTCGAGGCACCACTGTATTAGGTTAGACAAAATAATGTCCTGTTTGATTTCTTCTGGAAAACACAAGCTGTGGTGATTTTCACATTACTATGCAATAAGTAGATGTAATATTACACCCTGCAGCTATACATAAGTAAATAAAAAGCATTGTTTTCAGAAACCCTAGAAACACATGTACAGTATGTTCTGTATATATGTACAATAGGCTAGGGATAAAGAAATGAACAATATATAAAAACAGCTGCCTTTTCAGATTAAAAAAGCATATAAAACATTGCCAGCAGTTCCCTTTTCTATGCTAATACAGTATTATATATCAACATTGTTCATGTTTTGCAAGAGTTCCAGCAATTCCTAGACATTTACTGTTAGAAATATATTATTTATGCTCAACTTTGGTCATTGCCCAGGTTCAAAAATATTCAGATTATGAACAGATTTCTCTTTGAATCGATCTTCCTACCCTGTTTAAAAAAATACAACCCCCCCAAAACACTACATACACCACACACACAAATCTCCCCATAAATCAAACTTTATTAAGAAGTTTCTTTGCAAATGCCCCTTTCAAATGACTACAGTTATTACAGTACTATGGGGTTTTTCAACAATACCCACCACAGATGTGACTTAGAGGCAGCCAAAAATAATGAAACAATAAACTAGTCTCCTTTCTTGGTTTCCATTCTTGTAACTGAGCGTTTGCAAGGACAACTTTCTAACGGGTAGTGTGAATCTACAGCAACTATTTCACCTTGAATGTTTAGGGTTTCTGTCAAATACATTCATTCTAAATTAGGTAAGAGAAGGTGGGTTTTTTAAAGGATTACATTATCCGGAGTAAAATAGTACCATTTCCCCCCCAAATCAGACAGGGTCTGCTATTAATTTTTGCTCCGAAAAATCCATTGGGCCTTATTTTCAGGACATGTTTTATTTTTTATTTTTTTCATGTACAACAATCTACATTTATTTAAATACAGTCATGTCATCTTCTGGTTGCTGCACAATGGTGGAGGGTGGGGTTTCACTTAACCTGATCTTATTTTTGGGGTAGGGCTTATATTACGAGCATCCTGAAACTAGGGCTTATTTTCAGGTTAGGTTTATTTTCAGGAAAATGGTATATTTTTTCTGTTATCGATTGATGTTATGATGAGAACACGACCAACAGGCTGCAATTAATTTAAGAGCTCTATTCCTTTCGTCCCCATAGAAAAAGGCCTGTTGAGAGCGCAGAAGATAAGGGCCCATTATGTCCCAGGGCTTGGGCTTATTGTGGTTTATAGGTTGCCAGGGAAACACTCTCCGCTACCATTCTCTCTCCCTCCCTGCCACGAGACCCTCACGCTGCTCTTTCAGCTGCCACTCCTTTGTTGCCACGGGCGCTGGAGCAGAAAGAGAATGGAAGTGTTGTTTCTGATTGGGCCTTGACGAGACTCGCTCATTAGCATATGAGGACGGAGTCTGACAAGCAGAACGCCAGCCGATTGGCTGAGACTGGAGGTGAGGCTGTGGGGTGATCCCGACAAGCGGCTAACTCTCGGACACGAACGCGAGTCACCTCCGGGAGGCGGCGCGAGAGAGCTTTGTGCGCGCGCGTGTCCTCCTTTGCCCCTGGGCGTGTCGCGCGCTGAACCTTGTCTTCGCGCGGCTTCGAATTGCCGTCGCCTTTTTTTTTTGTCCTTCTGATGGGGGTTCCAGACATACGCCTTTTAGCTGCTCGCCTTTAGTGCCAGGCTTTGGCGCCTGGCCGAGCACGCGAAATCGGCGTGTCCACGTTGGCAAGTGTCGTGTTCACGCAGCTAAGGCATGCAAAACTACCGAACGGCTTCTGTGTCCTACATGATACTTTCGCATGTACGGTTTTTCTCGGCGGTGGGACACAGCAAATAGGCTTGCTTCGGGCGGAATGCACACGTGGCCCCCCGCAATGAAGGGAGATTAATGTAGAGAACAACAAGGTGTCTCCGGACGACTATAGAAGACCCGATTCTGACTCACAGTCAGCAAATCGCTCTGCTGTTCACTTCCCCTTTTTTCCCAGGTAGGGGGGAAATGTAGGCATTACAGATGGCCTTGCCTTTTTTGATGTTTGTGGTGAACTCGGTATAAGCGCATCGTAGTTTTAGTTTCACGTGCATACGCCGCTTTTCGGTTCAAGGCACCTTACGTGGCTTTCCTCTCCATTTTTATTCTCCCCAAAATTCTGGGAGGAAGATACGGCTAAGGAATGGTGTTTAGTTATTAAGTGGCCAAATGTAGATTCGAACCCAGTTGTCTGCGGTCCTGATCCAACACTTCAAGGTTTACCATAATGCTTCACTGTTATGTACATCTATTAGACAGAAAGCAAGCCCATAATCGGTTATTTTTGAATTCTGTTAATGTGCAGTCAAGTCGCATCAGATTTACAGGGATCCTAATAGGGGTTTCAGAGTACAGTACGTGAGATACTGAACGGTTAAGTGTTTTCTCCACTCCGTAGTGGTGGTGGTGACATTTGAACCCAGGTCTCGGGAATCTGTCACTTACCAGTTACAGCACACTGGCGCCCTCAGTTTATACCGCATATGCGATTCCCGAAGGACACAGATTTAAACCTGACTTTGAACTATTTTGTGAGGTAAACCAGCAAATTAACACTGCGAAACTGGTATTTCTGGCCATATAAGAAACATGCCGCTTCCTGCATTTTATCAAACTCTTCGACGCCCTGCGATTCTTAAGGGTTGGAAATGGGATGCGGAACTGTTGGAATTAAAGAAATACACTGAAAGATATCCGAGTTCGGAGACCTGATCAATCCACAGTCCTTTTACATTTCCTCCTTTTTTTGGGGGGGGGTGTCAATGCAAGGACGCAAAGCCAAGACCGTGGGTGCCTCTTGTACTACTCTCTGACACCAAACCTCTCCTCCTGCGGCACGAATGTCGTAGGCGTGGGGAAGCTTGTGATCGGGGAAACAGCTAGCAGGGAAAGGGTTAAACGTTTCCGGTCTCTAGAACCTCCACTGCCTTTCATCTAAATAAAACGAAAGGAGAAACAAGCACGCCCCAGCCACAAACTATTCTAACCTCTGCTGCATCGAGTCTAGTCTGAACCTGAGGTAATAAAAGTGAACTGTAAAACACTCCTTATTTTCCGAGACAGGAAATGGTGGGATGGAGCCGAAAGTTGGGTGCCTGCCAATGGTGTTGAATGAGTTTGCGTCCTAACAAGCGAGTTGTTTCAGGCTCAAGTCTGGTGGATATCCTTCGGCTTTCACGATTGGGGCGCCAGTTGTGGGTCTAATCCGTCACTTTGTACAGACTCTTCAGGCATTTCTTAATTCCGCGGCAACACCGCCATTGGCATGACAAGCCTGCATTCAGGAGGGCTGAGGCATATATGAGTCAGCGCCCATGCGAAGTATCCGCCATTCCAGCATCCTTCATTGGGCGAAGAAACGGCCAAGGGCGCTCGAATCTTCTGGCGCGGGAAATAAAACTTCCAGCCTTCTGTTTCTGTAAAAAATAAAAAATAAATTCCCGCGACTCAGCTCTTTTGCTCTATTTTAAGATAATTCCTTCTGACAGATGCCAGAGCTTTCTGGTTCTGGCGTGTTTCCGCAGCGACTTGCACAGAATGTGGGATGCCGGTTTCAGTGATCTGTTTAATATCCCCTCCCTGAGCCACGCTGGGTTGCCTCCTGGTGGGAGGGAGGGAGGTCGGCGGAGGCGACGAATCTCGTCCTTTTACCACAAAGCTCCCTCAGGCTTTTCGTACTAACACACGCGTGGCTTTTCCCTTCGAGTTACGTATACACAGAAGTCCTAAAGGAGAAGTTCAGCAACCTCATAATACCCAATCCGTGTCTGCTTTGCTGATCAACTCGTTTCACTGCCACCCGAGAGATCGACTTTTTGCAATCCTGAGGGGCTGGGCTCAAAACCCGAAGCGAAGCCACGCCAGCTCGTGCCTTCCTCGGGCTGGCTTCGACAACCTCCCACCGGCTGGCACCAAAGAGTGTAGTTGCCGGGTACCCGCACTGCCTGCCTGCCTGCCTCCCTCGTCCTGGTCACCCCTTCGGTGGGTGTTGGGAGAGAAGGCGGAGCCGCCTTCTGAGTCCCTCATAGTAGGGACCGGTGTTACTTGTGGTCATTCAAAGAGAGAGACGCCTTTTCAAAAATTCCTCCTCCTCCTCCTCCTCCTCCTCCCCGCTTCTCTGCAAGGGGGTGGCCCTTGGAGACACCTTCTTTTAACTTACACACTATAAATACGGCTCCTAGTATGGGAGCCGAGCTAGAGTCTGCGGCAGGACACGAGGAGGTTCGCCAAGGAAGCAGCGAGCCAAACCTCGAAGCCCCTGGTGAGTGCTGAGGGCGGCGGCCGTGGCGGCGTGGGGGGGGGCGCGCATGTTTAGCCACCCCCTTCGGTTTTGCCTCCGTTTGCGCCTTCGAGTGGGGAACAATCGCGGGGCCCTTGTTGTGGATGGAGAGGGGTCCGTTGCTGTGGGTGGTCCGAAGGAAAGTGGTCATTGTCGCTTTTGGTCCCCTATCTATGTACGGCGGGAAAGGACCCCCCCCCGTCTAGCTCCCACCCACCCCCAGTGTTTTGCATTAGATTCCCCCCCTCTCTCTCTGGGGACGGGAGGAAGTTCCGGTGGAGCGGGAGGAAAGCCGAAGTGAACCAAGGCCGGTTCCTCTCGCCTGGGGTGGCGCCGCCCGTGAGAACACGCGGCGAATTGGGGTGTGTGTGTGTGGGGGGGGGCGCCTGTGGAGGCATGTAACCTCCCCACACACACCAAGAGATGGGAGGTTACAGTTTTAACACTGAATAAAGTTGGAGGTTACAGTTTTAACACTGAATAAAGTTGTGATCCCAGCTAAATCCATCACCTGTGTATTGTCTCTAGGGTTTGATACCAGAGCAGAATCAAACTAGAGCAACTCCGGCTCTCTTCAAAAGTACTTCTTCCCCCACCCACCCATCCACCCCAATTTAACTCTTCTGGCGCCGGGGTCCGGCCTCGGGGTTTTTTTCCAGCCGTGGGCTGCCTTGGCCGGACCTGGAAAGGAGGGGAGCCCCCTTTCTGTGCTTCTCCCCCTCCCTTTCCACTTTTCTTTCACCGATGCAAAAAAAAAAAGGAAGAGGCGTTGAAAAGCTCTTGTCCGCCTTGACGGAAAGGAGGGCGGGCTGCCCAAAGGCGTGGGCTTTTGAAAAGGTGCCGGAGGGGTGAGGAAGGAGGGCGGCGGCGACGGTGTTGGGGCAGCAGCGGTGGCTGCCGCGGGAGTGGCGGGAGGGGAGGGCTTTTGTGGGATGGGGGGGGCGCGCCAGGCGGCTGGTCCTAAATCGCCATCTTTTTTTGTTCTCTCCTCCAGACACTCCTCCTCGCCGCACCGGCTGCCTCGTCGTCGTTCGGAGCCTGCCGCTGAGAAGAAAAGGAGAGGAAAAGCTGTGGGGAATTACGCCTTAGCGCCCCTTCCCGGGGTGGTGGAGATTATTCAGAGTAGGAGAGGAAAGAGAGCCGGCTGGCTTGGTTGCCATTCGTGCCGGCTTGACGCCTGATTTCGGCTTGACGCCTGTTTTCGCCTTGATCCCCTTTC